ACGGTAAGCAGCCCGATATGGTGGCATGTAAGGGGCAAGAGGAGAATGTGCCGCTATTCAGGGCAGTGCCACTGCTATTCGATACACATATCGGGTTCACGCACGTGTTGAGTTTGTGACAAGAGGTTCGGATGCCACTATATCTGTATCGGGCATTCCGCTATTCAGGGTGCCACTATATCGGCAATTCCACAAGTCAAGTTGCCACTATATCGGGCTGCTTACTGTACTGTAACACACCACCACGACGAAACAGGTGGGTGAGGTGGTCATGTACTTCCCCCAGGGGCACGAGGCGTACTTGCGCACGTTCCCCGAGAACCAGGCGCCCCCCTACAAGTTCTTCAAGGGGCAGCCGTCCGTCGTCAAGTGCCAGGTGGGTGGGCTCCAAGCGAAGGAAGCCGACGATGGCGCGGTTCTTGTGTTGCTTCGGCCGTTTTTTCGGTGGTACGCTAACCCGCAGTCTGGGGCTCTTGGGCGTTTGTTTTCGCTGTCGCTGTTGTTGTTGTTGTTGTTGTTGTTGTTGTTGTTGTTGTTGAGTAACAGGCGTGCGGTGCGGTGCATGAGTCGCTGTACAGGCCGCGGTGTGCATGTTTCTGTGGGTGCGTTATTTCCTTATTGCTGGCCGTGCTGAACAGCTGACCAATGAAAAGGCTCCCTTGCAGGTAGTGCTTGGACAAGTACACGCGACAAAGCTTCCTCGTCCGCCCCCCGCCCCCCCGCCCACACAGAGGGGGCCGCGGAGGAGATTGAGGGACAGGGTCCAGTCTCGTCGTAAACATAGAGAATACTTGCAAACAAGAATGGCAGCACTCGTTTTCCCCCAACTTTCGTTGACCATGGGTCTGTCTCTTGCTTCTCCTGCTTCGTAAGCGTGCCCTCCATGGTCGACTTGCTTTTAGTATCACACACAACTATTAGTGGGCACACTTACTTATAGTGTGGTACTCAGCCTTCCTTCGCCCTATTAATAATTTATCTGTCTGTTGATTATCTTGCCTCGAAATTGTCGGCAGTCCCACTCCCTCGTCGCTTGTTCTCTTGCTTAAAATCTTCTTTTTTCTCACCCAGGTGAAGGAGATGTCGTTCGTCTTCCCCAAGGACACCGAGGAGGTTGGCAACCACTCGGTCGTCTGCCGCCTCTCTCTGGAGGTCCTCGGCTTCCCGGTCAGGGTCAGCTCCTCGGTGGTGGCGCGGACAGCCCTCAACCAGGCCTCCAGGGGAGACAACCCCCTGGCCTACCGCGAAGACTCCTTCGCCCCCCCGCCTGCCGAGGACGGGGGGGGTTCAGCCGAGGCGCACAGCCAGACGTTCTCCGTTAGCCTGAGGGACTGCGGAGAGGCCGACTTCTTGGTGTCCGAGAGGCGCTACAACGAGTCGGTAGGGCGGAACTGGAGGCCCTCGGAGCGCGTCATGATGGAGTGGAAGGAGGGCGAGGACGGCGAGGAGGGGGAGGGTGTCCTGAAGCCGTACTTCGGGGTGATGGTGAGGCTGGGGATGGCGGGGGCGGGGGGCGCAGGGGGGGCGCAGTCGTCGTCGAGGAACGACTGGCCGAACTCGCCTTGGGACTGCCTGAGCATCCGGTGGGACTTGGACAACACGATAAGCTCTCTGGGGCCATGGGAGCCGAGACCGGTGAGTGGGGTTAGGATTCATCCTGTTGTTTCCTTGCGTATGCATACGGCAGCGTGTTGACAAAAAAAAAAAAAATGTTTTCTTCTTTGGAGCTCAGGTGAGTGCCCACAGCGCCCGTCTAACTGGCGGACGACTGGAGAGGACACGCTTTGTGACACACCCACCCTTTAGACGCTGACGAAAAGAGAATGCGTGCCGAATGAGGAGAAAGGCCGCCGTGGTTTTTACGATTATTGTTCCGAAAACGATGGACTGCTCTGTTCTCATTGTGCGGTGCGGTGGAATGAATGGCTCCGAACCCAGACCCTATCGTTTTGCCCTTCGCTGATGCGATTTGCGATCGAAACACCGGAGGAACAAAGGGCAGGTGGAGTGTTGGAGAGAGGAGTGTGTCGACCCGCACCCGCCGCTGCCGCCGCTATCACGGCTTCCTCGTTGAATTCACCCCTGATAACTTAGCCCTCCCCATTCCCCCCAGACCAGCCGCGCTTGGTGGTGTGATCGTAGCCTGGTCCGGTGAAACCCCGGTGTGCTCCGTCCAGGCTCATTAGGGATGCGAGGCCAATGGCCTAGCGACTACGGTCTGCACGGCTATGAGTATACATACACACACAAACACACACACACACAACACACACCGGAGGCAGCCGGGTGTTGGACAAAGCTCAAGAATCATGTAGCCCTAACCCGCCCTACGATGTCTTGAACCCTCGGGTCTTTTTTGTTTTTTCGTTGCCATATGGCACACACGCCGCCCGTGGCGGGCCGATGGCACAATCGTGTATCGTACATAAATGTATGCATTGATGCACAGGTGACGTGGGACGAGAGCGGAGACCCGCCGGCGGTGGAGCCGGCGAGCCTCCGTGCCTGTATCCCCCGCGATCTACGGGACGCCCTGGCCGCGAAGGTGCGGGAGGTTGCCGAGTCGCCGGACGCCGCGCTCTTCGCGGAACCAGTGGACGTGGTGGACTACCATACGATCGTCCCCGTGCCGATGGACCTCGGGCTCATCCTGCGGCGCTTGGAGAAGGTGTGTCATAGTTTTTTTTGTTTCGATTTGTGCCTTGGTGCTGCTGGTGCTAAAGTGTCACTTGGAGTCGTGTTGTGGGTGGTGCCCACACCAGCCGTGCTGAATAACTTCTCCTGTTGTTGTGTACTTTTTATCATGTCTTCTCTCACATTGGTTGGAAAACGCCACACGTTTGCTCACCCATTGTTGTAGCACTATATATTCGGTTGAGTGTTTGCAGCTGTTGTCAGCACTTGCACCCTCCGTTTTTCTAGAAAAGGGGTGGCGAGTTCTTTAGTCCACCATTGAGGGGGTTCGAGCGTCGAAGAGCACCTTGATAACGTACAGTAGTAGCGTCGAACTTTCGGCGAGACACACGTCTCCTCCGCCGGGTACATCATTGACGCCCTTGCCATCACTCCCTTGGTTTCGCCCTGTCGAGTCATTCACAATGGCGCCGTCCGGCGGTATTTCCAAGGATGACAAGCTCTCCCGCAAATGTAGGTCTGCGTTCGGCGCATGCCGTTTCCATGGGCTT